AGTTTTTGGTTCATTGGATGTAAAGATGCTGGAATTATCGGAGTAGTAGGCAAATAAAACGTCACATAACATGATGTGAAATTTGATAAGAAAGAATTCAACAATGCAATAACAATCTTTCTGATTCTGAACGACGTAGGACAAGCGAAATAATACCGGAGACAATTCAGATTGAGAATATTAAAAGAACAATCAAAATAATAATTGTATTAATAAGGAGAAGGTATTTAGATTAACTAAATAAACAAATATTTATCCCCCTATGGTTTAAATTCATGAATCGCCAAGGCCTCCTCTGTCTTTAGACGTTTAGGACAAAGAAAACGCGGTAGTTTGGCATGAATTCTATAGATGATCTTAAAATCATGGTCAGGGTCGGTGAAGTGACAGAAGTCCATCATGTGTTCTAGAATAATAGACCTTTGCACACCCTTCATTTCTCTCTTGCAAAACCTTGCTGGTATATGTTCTTATTCCCATGTGGAAAGAATTCTGTGGCTACTGTTAATGTATCTTTTTCCATAAGAACAGGTGAACTGGTGGATGTACATGGAGGCGGCCGGACGAGGAAGCTTATCTTTTACAGAGACGGAGAAAAACTTACGACTGATATAGGTCATTTGTAATTTTGCAGCAAAGAACGTCTTACCGACTGATTTAGAGAGACGAATTTGTGTCTATCTGAAGCCTGATATCCTTTGAATACCAAAAATTCAGGAAGATTTGATTATATATATATATATCCAGTACCCGGAATTTTTGCATCGATTCACTCACTGGCTGATGTTGATTGTTTTCTTACGAAGTCTACCTCGAAGTGATCTGTTTTACACTTTAATTTCACTGCCAACAAAAGGTTCGGTAATGAGTATTTATCTGCGAAAAAAATGTACTTTTGAAAGATTGTTTAATCAATGAATATTTAACGTGAAAAAGAACAAGACAACTACTAAAATACCAGTCACTTGGTGGTCAATACTTTGTTCATTGATATTTACACCAAAACAAACATCTATTCTCTGCATTGTGCTGATGATTTCTGAAAATTTTCTTTTCACGAAGCAGTAGTACATCCTCCATGGCACTAAAATAAACCTAGGGCTAATATTAATACATCAGGCTTAATCAACTTAATATAAAGTGAATAAACGTCTATTCCTCTTGGGGATGCTTAAGGTGTTTTTTAGGTTTTGTTTTAATAGGTGTGCATCTTGCCAGTATCGGATGGCATTTTACACTCCTTCCGTGCTCTGTTAACACACACGCACATACCTAGAGTCCGTAATTCATCGTTACGCACCAGATACGTTCTAAAGTCGTTTTCTTAATTAGCTTTTGCTTTTTATTCTATTCCAATATAGTGCTCATCAGATCACATTCCTAAATGACTAAATCCTTTTGATTTGTTTTTAGTTATCAGTACTTACAAGTTAGGTAGTGTGCTGACTGATTTGGTAATCAGACAGATTACAGTTAGTAAGGCTGGTATAGTGTAGCTTGCTAATAGCACAACTAGTACTATACAGAAGACTGTTAAAGTCACAAAATCTACCCTCTCAGCTTACCTTTTAGTCATCCGGGCGTTTTTCAGAAATAAATATTTGTGTTTTATTTATTCAATCTTCGTTGTTTATCGTACTGGAGTGAAATTACCTCTCGTATTCTGTGCATGACCATGTGGGCCGTAAATCTCACTATCACCTTATACTTAACTTCGAATTAGAACTCAATAGCTGTGTATAATTGTATAATTATAAATAAGAGGAGTGCCATAATCGAACACCTTGTCAACACTGGTCATTCCATCTCAGCAAACTCCTCCACCTTCAAAGTAACCTACAAAGTGGAGAACAACCTACCAGAAGCAATACTCTTTCGTCACCTTTGCATTTCTGAAGCACTAGCCATTCAGTTAGAAGAAAAACCGGAGGTATGCACACAGAAGAAAATCATTCGACTGCTTCTACTATCATGATAACAGCCTTATTGATTTCTGTTGATTGACTTTTGTTTGTTTGTTTTTCTAAATCCTTTTTTCCCTCACGTTCCCCAGTGGAACATAGGGCTCCAAGCTAGTGGCTTGAAGTTTCTGTAGCAGTGTTTATTTTACAGGATGGGGTTGCTAGCCTCATGCCCAACCTTTCCTCCTCACCAGCATTATTTCTGGATTAGCGAGGTAAAGGAGTACGTCGGCGGCCGGGGATCGAACTCCGTACCATGTGCATGGTCGGCGAGCGTCCTAACCACTATGCCACTGACGCTGCCCTGATTATAACTCATTTATTAAATTATTCATGTTATTACGTGACTCTAATATACTCATTTAACTGCTCTTACTCACTGAATAATATTAACAACTATGGTTAGGACGTCATCACTCACTGCGGAATGCACATACATCCAGATGACGAGTCCCAAATAGGACGAAATGCGCATCCTGGATTCCAGTGCTAGTCACCATCCACCAATTAACTATGATTGTGACAGTTCATCACTTTTTCTATTGCCTGCCCTCTTTCATGAAAATAAATTGTATATAAAAGGCCTTGTACAGCTAGAGAGCGAAATGAATTCGCCAAAAACAGTCTCTTTGCTGAACTACGTGTTTTGTTTTCATTAATGGAATTCTTACTAACGCAGAAGTACACTTCTTGTGATAAATCTTGAATACAAAAGACGCTTCTTTGATTTGACTGTTATTCAAAATCTTATCTAACTGAGACAGTACATTTTTTATGTATTTGTATTCATTGATTAACAACCAACAGTGGGATTGACTGACACTGAATTTATTTACAGTCAAACCCCATTATCAAATAAATATATGTGTAAAACTTGGGCACTGTGGTAGTATGTAATTCCGTATTAAGTTGTTTATTAGACATATCACATAGTGAAACATTATAATTTACTGAATGACAAGGTTTTAAACACAATTCATTGTAACTGATTAAAAATGCCCATTAAAATTTTCAAAAGAATGGATACTGAACAAAGAATACTCTTTTCGATAACTTCATCATCAGGTTCTACAGTTATATATACATTATAGTGAATGAATGAATTAGTGTTATGAACAACATTAATGTTATTAAAATAACATCGAATCAATAATATCAGTAGATTAGAGTTCAATAGCATCAACATAACAATAAAGTGAATGTTAGAAAAATTAGGAAAGATAATATTACAGATTCATGAATTTATAGTCTCCACTGAAGACCGGCCAGGGCAGTAGTAGTGGCTGGCTGAACTTGCTTCTTTTGCACACAGAGCACTGGTTGTTTCACGCGAATTGCAATAGCCTCTGCTGTTTGAAGCATGCAGTACTTCGATGTTTTTGGCAATTTATTTGGCACCTGGTAGATGGTAGAGAAGGATTCTTCAATGCTGGTCGTCTTTGTGGCAGGTTTGCACCAAATGGCCTAATATTGAACTGTTGATGGTTTTCACTACACCTTTACTTAGCCATAGTGGGAGATGTTCTCGAGTACGAAAAAACAAGTTCCTAGAGCAACGACCAATATAACTCGCTCAACCACAAGCGCAGTTGAATTGGTAGATACAATTTGAAGTGACTAGCTAGTCTAGGTACTTCACCTTTCAGTCGAGGAATCACCATCAGTCCTGTAGAGAATAAAACGTGTAGTTCGCGAGCATTAAAAGTTCTTTGAAGTGATTTTCTTAATTTCTTCGTAATTATCTCACTTGGTATATCGCCCTTGAATTGCAGTCGTTCATACTCATATCACTCATAACTACACAACTTCAAAACTTTCGTTTTATAGTTTTCTTTACCCCTTCCTATTTGTCGCAGATATCCACGACAGGTTTTGAATCATTGCTATTGCATGTATTCTTAGTTTATTGAATAAATAAATCTTCCGTTCTCCACCCTGTTATATTAGATTTTAAAACTGTCATCTTATCCCATCCTATTGTGTATAATTGCATGTAGTGCTACAGCTGAGCTATTCTGTAAATTTATCTTACTGGGGTCAACTAATCTAGATTTTGCTAGGTCTTTGTGCTCCACCAGTCTACTTGAACTTGTTCTCCTGTAACGACAGGAGACAAGGGCCAGGCAACAGATCGTTTATTGAGAAAATCAAGAGATATTTATAGATTTTTATGTACATTATTATTCGTTATTGTTAGCCGAGAAACAACGTCTTCTGATTGGTTTTTTTCTTGCTGAAAGTTATTCTGTACTCCTTGTGACCGTTTCTTAGAAGGTCAGATCATATATCTGCTAATCGTATTCGCCTACGCTAAGTCTGTTGTGATTGGTTGTTGAGTTCCTCGAGGTTAAGCTTTGTCCTTGTTTATTTCTCATGACCCCTTTTCGGGACGTAAACACTGACGTAAATTGTTGTCTACAATTTTGGCTTGCAGACAGCTCTCACCACAATACTAACTACTTTGACCTATGTATTTGACTTGACAATTACTGCAGGGTATTAGACAAACTAAATAATTTTGCTAAATGGACTTCGCAGGATCTTTTCACCCTACAAAGTTTGCTTCTGAGTGAGTTTTTGGGCGAAATGATTGAATGCCACTTCCATTCTTTCATTGTTAAGAAGTCTACGTGAGGTTTCTGATGTTTCTTTTTCGTATGGAAGTACTACTGATGATGACGATTTAAATTCCATATTGTTGTTGTCAACATTTTATGCATGTTTGCCATGCATATTGTTAATATTATTATCACTATTACTGCCATAACAGTTGTAGTGTGACATGATGAAGATTGATAGGAAGCTGCCGAAATTGAAATCAACATTTTCAGTCAATCGTTGACTGTACAGGAAGAAGCGTCTATTCCTCAAATCTGGACTCAGTTTACGTTGTGGACATGAAATAACCTCACAGGACAACTTATTGAACCTTGGGTCAATTTCAAACCAATCAGAACAATTTTTTGTCCTCTGACCTAGAGGGAATTTAATATGGCTGACGTAACTTAACTGAACACAAAAACAACAAATAAGTAGTATTGAATTTTTATTAAAAGAATTTATTCAGTTGTTTGGCAATCAATAACTAATTACCATCACTCTGTTTTTGTTTAAAATTTGTCTATAAAATTGGAGGGAATTCAAAGAAAAAGATTTTTTTGTAAAAATCACTTTGATTTTTTCTTTTGAAGTAAGCAGATAGAAACATGTTTGTGTTACAGTAGCTAACAGAGTAATAAATAGTTTTTTATGGCCTTGTCTTTAATTTATATGCGTTAGAAGAAAAAAATAGTATCTTAATCACTGCTGTTGACTTCTTCATCAGGTGTCCTCCATACTAAATAAGAAAATTCACCTATACGATACATGAAACACTTATTGGCGCTGTGGGAATAGCTACTCCAAAATGAGCCTTTGACAATGACAACATGCCATGCTTTACCATAGGTTTTGTCTAACCATTCTTTCAGTTTGACAGCTTGTTCTTTTTCATCAAGTTTCCTAGGCGATGAGGCATTCAATTCACGTGTTTTATTACTAATTTCCACTTGTTTATCCAATGGAAGTTGTTCATAGATTACAATGACATCAGGGTGGAGTTTAAGACCTGCTGCTTGTTGTTGTTGGGTTTTCATTGCAACTCTATGGGAGAAGAGAAAAAGCAAACAAACAAAAATGGTTTGATAAAGTGAAGGGAGAAATTAAAGAATGACAGTGACTCTTAGGTAAGATTTACAGGCTGTGAATTATTATTATTATTTTGTCTCTTGCATTTTATTATTACACATCTTCACTTATATTATTCTCTACCCCACCCTTTTGTAATCTCTACCCTCATTAACAATGTTACTAACTTGACCCACGTCCAATTTCTAGTCATTTGCGTTACGTCATCCGATCAACTTACTTATTTTCAACTGTATTATTCTCTAATCCCACCCTTATTTGATTTTAAACACCACTAACTAACACTGTTGCCAACCTGACCTAATCTGAATTCTACTCACTTAATGAATTCTATTTTATTTTCCATCTTAACGTTTGTTTCCAAGCCAAAAAATACTTACATTACATAATTATCTAAACTTTATAAATCTAATGTACACACACACAAACAAAATTGTATAAATATGCGATTGTACAGCTCAGTGAATGAATTCGCCGAAAAGAGTCTCTTCGCTGAACGCCTTCTTTTCTTTTATATGGCTGGGAATAAGCCAACCAAGAACCTGTTTCTCAAAAAATATGTGAGAGAAAATGGAGATGGATAGGAAACACACTAAGGAGACAGTTCAGTGACATCTCACACCAGGCAGATCCTCGACTGAAAGTCGAAAGGGGAACGAAAAGTAGGATATAACTCCAAGAGTGACATGGAGGAGATCGTGGAGTCAGCTCAAGTGAACTGCAGAGAACAGGATGGAATGGAGACGTTCTACTGAAGCCCTATATTCCACTTGCAACCCAAGGGAATATTAATAATAATGAGGCGACTGAATGATTTTAGAATATTGTTGAATTGAGAGATGAGAGAACTAAAGGTCTCTTCTCATCTCATTAAGTCGAAAAAATGAACTCACTATTATTGATCCGTAAAACACAACATATGACTTTTACGCTTATTCCCCTTTATGAATTTGAATAAAGGAAGAACAACAGTTTGTTCACAATAAGATGGTGCCATCATTTATTTCGTTGGCATCTCATCAGCTGCATACGGGTCATGAGGTGGAAATCACGAAATCCTTTAGAACTTTCAATGGATAGAATAGTTCAACTCTCCTCAGGTTTACCAGAACAGCTGAGACCTGATTCATGCGTTCAGAAACAAACAGTTATCAGTTCGTCTTTCCTTGCCATGGTAACTGTATGTCTTTGCTCTCTCTCTCTCTCTCTTTCATTTGATTACTTAGTCTTTGGCCTTAACTTCCCTCCCCTTTTATATCGTTTAACTTTGCCTGTTTCTCTTCTCAATCATTTCACTTGAACTCATCATACTATTACCCATCATCTTATTTACCTCTTGTCCCAATTACGCAACTCCCTCACCATTTTGTGTAAGTTTATTTTTGTTTAAACTTGAATTCTCTGGATATAAACTATGTACGTGTAATTTTCTGAGCAGTGTTTATTACGTTTGGGGCCTCCTGTCAACTTATATCATGTAGCATTTGCAAGTATGTTAAAATTGCTCTGTACCTAAACTTAATTCCTTTCTCTAGGCAGTACGCAGCTGATGAGAAGCCAACGAAATAAATGATGGTAACATCTTATTGTGAACAAATTTGTTCTTCTCGCTTTATTCAGAAGACTTTCAGTTCATTGTTGTTTCCGGATACTGACCGTTGTATATCTGGAGAAAGTTATCTCATTACTCTTGCTCTTACATGCTGCAACTAACACCAATAAAATTGATTTTAAAAAATTAACACCCCACTAAGCATATTACTTAATGTCTTGCAGATACCTGATTAGCATGTTTATATGCGAAACATTATTCAGATGGCCTAAAAATATATGAGGTGTGATTGTGTCTTTCCTCAAACGAAAAACAGCTTTTTTATTGGTTACAAGTTCAAAGATGAACTGATTAAAACAAGTTCTGGGATCTTTTTCAAACCTCTAGATATTATTCATCAGTCTCGAGCTTTCTCCAGAAAAGCTAATTGAAAAGTTTGCCTTATAATCAAGGGAATATCAGAGTTAGTAATTAGTGGCCGATCAAAGTATCCAATTCAGTAGTCCTACAGGAGTTCAGTCGCGAGCACAAATAGATCACTGGTAACAACTGCGACTGCAGCATTGGGTGACGCGGTTTTGAATCTCAGGGTGGATATGAGTTCCTTAAAGGTTGTAGATATGCTTTCTTGACGAGTGCCAACTAGCACGAAACCTAGATCCAAGGCTTCATTCTGATCGCTTCCAACTATCAAATACCTCTTTTTAGGGTGGTCATGAGATACACTGTAATGCGTTGTTTTACGATGTGTTTTTGTTTAACTGAATGACCTCAAACTGTCATAGAAAATTATTGGTGTGTGATTCTTGTAGATACAGTTTTTATCTCGCCTTATTGGGAATATTCTACTTGATTCTAAGGTACTTATTATAGTTGAATTTTGGTTAAGTGCTCAACAAATATGTGGGAGAAAATGGAGATGGATTTGGCATACATTGAGGAAACTGTGGCGCACAACGCAGGCTATCACTTGAGTGAAATCCAAATGGGAAGTGACGAGTGGGTCATTGGTGCGATGGTGACATGGAGAAGATCGTGTGAGGAAGAGATGAGAGATTACGGACAATCGTGGTCGCAGCTGAAGAGGATGGCAGAGAATAGAAGAAAATGGAGATGTGCTGTTGACGCCCTATGTTCCACTCAGAACCCAAGGGAATAATAGTATATTATAATAATTTTTTTCTACAGTACTTGTTTTGTACTTAGAAAATTAGCTGAACTGAATAACTGCCTAACGGCGGCGCTGTTGAGATAATTTTGAGTTTTCGATGCTATCAGTGTTGAACAGAACCACAGATTCAACTGCAATTAACCTCCTTTTTGCTGTCGTTAGGACATTTTGTGACTGTGAATGACTCAAGGAAGTTTAGGTCAGCTATGCAGCATCATACGGAGGTCGGTTTCCTGTATTCAGACCACCACCATAAGTTGGTTTTGGTCGTTACAATAGCGCATTCAACGAAAATTTCTGGTTGGCCATAAAAATGCCCAAAAATTTCTTCAGGTGACCTTAAGGAATAATATTTTCATCAATCACTAATTGCTAACAAGTAGCTGTGGCAATTAACTAATTCCGACTAGATGAAGTACAGGTCTTTCTTTATAATATGAAATACAAATGTCTACTTTTAATGACTGATCTGTTTGGGATTCCTACATGGTCAGTTTAAAAACTAACTAACAAAACGATGAACTTTGAAATTCGACTGACTAAAACGGTTTCCAAACACACTAAACCGTAGAGCCATCTAGCTAGTGGATATGCTACACATTTCAAAGATCGTTGGATGGCTACAGTGTTCAGCAGTCTATATTAACTCCTTCTAATCCCTTAAAAATCACCATTCGAAGTCAAATATTTAGTGTATTTCGAAGAAAATGTGACATATATGTGTATAAAATAAAGAAATGCAATGATAAAGGGAACTATAATAATGATCACTCACGCTTGTGCTGGACTCAAACCTAAAACTTCGCAGAATTTAGGGAAAGTTATCTTTCCAGTTCTGTTTGGATCAAACAGTTGTTGCCATTTCTAAAATTAGATATTTATAAGAAGTAGAGTCAATAAACGAAAAAACGAAAAGGCGAATTAAGTTAACAATGCGAGTTTGACGGTAGAATACTCGCCAAGCAAGTCTCACGTAGTCTGGGGTTATTCAATCCCAGGCTGACGCAATCTTAATCCTCACCGGTAGCAGTGGTGTTTACTTTTATGAGATGGAGTTGCTAGTCTCATGCCAAACCTTCCCTCTTTACCAGTCTTATTACTGGCTTAGCGAGGTAATGGAGTGAGTTGGTGGCGGGGATCGAACCCCGAACCCCATACGTAGTTAACGAGCATTCCACCGCCGTGCTACCGACACATTCCACCATTGCATAGTGAAACGTAAATCAGAAGCCTTGCGAATAATCCACCAGTGCTTGGAAATAGTAAGTAGTGAGTTCTGATTTTTCAAAAAAAGACCCCCAAACCTGGGATCTAGTTATATATAGCCAACTGGCGAATCGGAAAAACAAAGAATACAGGACGACCAACTTGGACTTCATTGCTAGACTCCTACAGACCAATACTATTCGACCTTCTGTACTTACTTACTGCTAAGGACCGCATTTCTGTATCGTCTGCGGCACCAAAGAGTAAAGAAAGAAATCACTTCCAGAAAAAGAAAAGCTACATAAAAAGTTCACTTTTTTGTCAATCTGAGTATATGAATGTAGAAATTGATCACTGTGTATTTATTACTTGTCGCACAAATTGATGATGAAGAATAAAAGGTTAAGAAGTAAAGACTTTAAAAAAGAGGTCACATAAATCATACAATGATGTGAATAAATGTCTTATAATGACCCTTAATAATAATGATATCTTTATGTGACTTTCATCTTTACGTATATACATATATATATATATACATATATATATATATATTCAATGATATTGTTATTGATCGAATTTATTGACCACGTATTTTCAAACAATCAGAATAGGCCATACCTTTTAATTAATGCATCTTCCATGAATTTAAGTAGACGTGGTAAGTAGTGGATAAAATTAAAGTGAATTTAATCAACCGTATCATGTATTTGCTTGGTACCGTTCTACCACAAACGAATCGACAAAAGTAAATTCAGTTGACCAGTAGAATTTGTCCAATTACTCCAGTATATACTGTTGAGTTTTTATGTAAGCAGAAAATTTAAGATCTCAGGTAGTTCTATAGTAACAAATATATTAATTAGCCTTAAATACACTATGAGGCTTTATAAGAGCTTAGCTGTGTCTAAACACACACTTTAGCCCTGCAGCCACAATTTCTCAGTTCTCTAAGGGAGAAGTTTGTGGATTTTCTGTTTTAACACTGTAGTTTATAAACAAATTTGTTTTTTGGTATGGCTGTGATCTCTGAGCTGGATAGTTAATTTGCGAAGCTTTCATTACCCTACTAGGTGACATCCTCAGCGCATACTTCAATTTAAAGTGAAGTGAGCTTCTAAATTACACCACAAGTTTATTAGTCATCTCTCCCGGTGACCTTGGACGTGACTGGTTGCTTTTGTGGTCACCGAGAGAGATGACTAATAAGCTAGTGGAGAAATCTGAAAGCTCACTTCAAATTGAAGTATGCGCTGAAGATGTCACCTAGTAGGGTAATGAAAGCTTCGTAAATTAACTATCCAGCTCAGAGAACACAACTACACCAAAATCATCCACCTGAGCTACAAATCTTCTCTATCATATCTAAATTTGTTTTTTTTTAATTTATTGCTAGTTTGTCCAGAAATCTGGTAGTCTGAATGGATTTGGATGGTAGGGTGAATCCTGTTTCTTTAATTGCCTGTAATTCTTGCATTCATTTACAACGCATGCATAATCTCGTATTCTCTACTTTGTTCGAATGTTGTCATCCTAAGTACAACTCAATCATCAAACTATTCGTATTATTGCGCAACTCCACTTTAACAATTGTTTATGACAACTCATCACCTTTGTTACACTACCCTAGTTTCATTAACACTCAATTTTCTTGACCATTTTTGTATTGCGTAACACCACCATCCATAGCCAATTGTATTTTTGTCTGACAAACTTAATGTATACACGCATACAAAATAACCCATATATATACATATATTTGCGATTGTACAGCTAAGAAAATGAATTCGCCGCCAAAAAGAGACTGTTCTTTAAACTACGTGCTTTGTTTTCATTAATGCCTGGATCCGGATTATCCATGAATCCAGGAAAAAACGCAGATCTGGGATACCATGAATGGTCTCCAGGTACATATAACAATCAGCACTGTAAATCATGCTTTGAATATACAATATGAATATATATAAATATATATATTCATGGAGCTACCACACACAACCGTTGTGATCCCAAAACTAAACGATGAAGTACGTAGACTATCCACCTCTAACTGTATCTCTTAATCCAACTGCTCCTGTGAAGCCAGTTATATCGTCTGTCGATGCAGGAAACGCAAATTTCCGCTCTCGGGAACACCTAGTTGCGTGGTTCAGCAACCGTTAGCATTTCTACATTTTGAATCGCCTCTTTCAAACAGACCACAAAGCTAGCTAGAATTGGAGAGTCCATCTCTCTATCGCTTATTGGCTATCGAATAAATTACTAAAGGCCTCTAGATACAAAACACTCAAAACATCAGACCCATAAATTCTATGTTGCTCCTATTTAACTTATCTGATATTCACTGAGTTCAATGTTGTATTAATGCACATCACCTCTTCCTTACTGACGCTTTTGAAATGTAATGTCTCCATCTATACTATTTTTATTCGATGTAATTTAAAATAGGATTAATTTTGTTAGCATGAATATTTTTTTATTTGTTATGGTCACATCAATGTAGAACCTGATGAAAAATATATATATATAAATTATGCTTCTCTACCGTTTTGTAGCATTTTACAAATTGAATTAGCTTGCAAAGATAAAAGATATTGCATGATAACCCATAATTCCTTATTAGATTAGCTCATTTAATCTGGCACACAGTGATACCAGTGTCAGCAACTTTGTTTTCCTCCGAAATGTATCTCCGTACCGTTAGATGGAATGGACTGTGCCTTAAACGTCATCTAATCAGTAATATCGTTTCACTATGTACTTTATAAAGTGAAATAATCTAATATGGCTACAAAAGTAGATTACATAACGAATTGGTATCGGCTGGATAACTGCTGTTAACGGAAGAACTTCCATGTAAGCCAGTTTGCTTTGCCTTCTGAAACTTCAGTCATGCGAAACCGTGAATACGTAAAAGGTATAAGTCTGAGATTTTCACATTTTTTTCAGAGGTATTATTTTACCATTCAACAAGTGAGTCTAAATCCAACGACCGACGTGTTTAAAGCCTATTTAACTCCCTAGGTTACCTAAATTTCCTATCCATCAGAATGTATGACGTTTACACTATTCCGCTTTTCTTTAATGATCTAATTACGCTATAATGAGTCACTAGTCGGATTTTTCTAAGGAAATGCAGGAAGAATATTGTGAAGTAGTACTGAGGCAAGCTTCGAGCGGCGGTGGGACAGTGTTCGGACAATATCGTTCTAGATGATATATTATCGACTGTTATATGATTCAAAGATTCTACACAAGGAGTAAATAAATACGTTGCAGTGAAGCTCGCTGAAAATTCTGTAATATGTATAAAGGCATCTTTCAGCATAAAGCCATCATTATTATTATTGAAGATCAAATTTTGTTTTGTTTAACTAAAGCATGTGTTTCACAATAACCTTGAAACTGTAGATTCGTTTCAGTAAAGTTTCAATCAACAACAGATACTTTATTTATTTTATAGTAAATGCCTTCCTGCATACTGTAAAGCTGTAAGTACAAGATAATTATTGACAGTCTTTTTTTAATTGAACACCAGAACATCCAGAAGTATCTTGAATTCTGTCTTCTTCTATGAAGTAGCGAAGTATGCATCAAATGCATATAATACTGAGTAGCGTAACTCATTCAAGATGTCTTTCTTTATTGCCTAACGTAGTATTCCTAAATCGTTTTCAAAGTATTTTATAAAAAACCTATCGACCAACGACTACCAAGGGTGATATTTTTTTCAGATAATTAATTTGAACTAATGGAACGGAAACTGGTTGGGATTATGTTTTAGAATATGCCAGTTGACCTTAGATTTGAAAGAACTAACAATATACAAATCTAGTAAGCGTAAAACTAGGCGTTCACTAAAAGTTTAACCTAGATATTTGGCAATTTTTAAGGGATATATATAATTTTCTAGCCTCCTAGTGATAGGTTATTTGATAACAACTTACCAATACTTACAATGACAGATCTTCCGGTGTTTCTGTGGTAAGTCTACAAGATTCTATGTGACAACCATTGCATACTTCACAAGTGACGGAAGACTAAGGTGTACAATTACCGCTTATCATTTGTCAAAGCAACAATACATAAAGTCAACGAGGGAAATGATTAGAAGTTTCATATATATATGAGATTAACTCTCTCCAAATTCTCAGTTAAATATGATCTTAAGTATTTGTGAATGACCTAGCGACATATGAGTTAATACTTTTCATAGTAATATAAGAATAGAGAATCTTTAAAAAGGGATATTTCGGACAGTATCAAAATCACACATAGGAGAGAAGACAGTGTAGCATAGTACTCAATTTCGTATATATATGTATATATATATATATGGTTTTTCAGAAATTATATCCAGTGAGGGAATTGAATCATAGGCGTGAATGTATTCCCTTCTGCATCTCTGAGAATAAACTTTACTAGTCGACCATTACTGTTCAATAACCTGAAGGACAAGATCTCACTGTTGACCAACTCTATGTGTGTTTATCAATTCACCTGCTCGTGTGGAGCTAGGTATGTCGGTCGTCCGACTCGATTTTTGTCCAAGAGGGTGCAAGAACACTATCCTCCTGCATGGTTACGAAGAGGTGGAAGTGGAGCAATAAGAAGCGCGATCATTGAACATTTGGTCGATAATGATCACCCTATCTCTATAGCCTCCACCTTTAAAGTCATCTACAAGGCGAAAAGTAATTTGCCAAAATCACTACGTACCCAACTCATCTGTATTGCTGAAGCTTTGGCTATCGAAACAGAAAAGCCAGATTTCTGTGTACAGAAAAGATTCGTTCAACCCCTCCAAATTTCAATGTCTTAATCCCTCTATGCTTAAGTATGGTAATCCCTTATCATATTTTGGCTCTATCTATTTTTTCATTTTGTCTATTCAATTTGTATTCTTTTCCTTTATTACGTCAATTATTATTATTACTATTCTCACTTTGAGTTGTCCCCGGTATTATTTCACTTGTTCCACTTGTCATTCTAAATTAATTTTGTTTTGCGACATTAAACTCTATATTATCAAATTTCACACAATATTACGTAACGTTTTTATTTTATTCGATTTGTCTACTAGTCCTATATAATTGCACACCCTTTTTTCAAGTTCTATCCATCCTATGAATTATTCTTTATATATGACATTAATTTGCTTTGCCACTTGACATTTAACTACGATTATAACCACAAACATTTTAGTTTTAATTGCATTTCATACTACTATTATTATTATTATTTTATGCATTCATACCTATGATTCAATTCCCTCATCGGATGTAATTTCTTAAAAAAGCCATATATTTACGATTGTACAGCTTAATGATAAATTCGTTGAAAATAGTATCTTCGCTGAATCATTTGTTTTGATTTTCTGTATGTTACCCATGGGAATTTTTTATGAATTAATAGATAAAGTGGTTTTTTAAAAAATATTGTAAAAATCTATTGATAAATCAACATTGTATGAGGTATTACTTAGATTTCCTTGAGATCAACAGTCTGGAGTGTGACTTTAGTAAAAGAAATCAATTTATAACTACTACTAAGGATAATAACAGGATAATAGTCCCATTCTGGAAAATGCGATTAAACATAATATAGAATTTTCAGCGAGTTTCACTGCAACGTATTTATTTACTCACTTCTTGTGTAGAATCTTCGAATCATATAACAATCGATAATATATCATCTAGAACAATATTGTCCGCACACTCTCCCACGCCGCCGCCCGAAGCTTGCCTCAGTACTACTTCACAATATTCTTCCTCCATCTGCTTAGAAAAATCCGACTAGTGACTCATTATAGCGTAATTAGAACATTGAAGCTACGCGGAACGGTGCAAGCGTGATGCATTCTGACGGATAGGAAATTTCGATAGCTCAGTGATTTGATGAGCAGGCTGTTGCTACTACCATCAGTATACCGTAATCAAACTTAAGTTCTCCCCCCCACTAAAGCTTCCTGTGTTACGTAATTCGTTATCTAAAATTATGCAGTTCTAATGATACATGCCAAGACAATTCCTTACACATATATTGGCGATTGTAAAGCTTGAGAATGATACATCGCTGATAAGAAAGAATAACTCTTCGCCAAAGACGTCTTTTCTTTGATGTGAATTTTAAAAAAATATAAAAAAATAAAAATGATGTAAAACTTTACTTACTGTAACCATTTTCTCATCAAGTTTATTAGCAGCAACATAATTTTGTAATTCTTTAATTGAAATTGTCTCAGTTCCATCCTTATCGATAGCGAAGAATACTTGGACAAATGGTTCCATTGTTTATGAGAAGCTTTTAGTTTTTCAAAATGTTCCTTGAATTGTAAAAATAGGAAAGTTAAAAAGTGAGCACATCAATATATATATATATAACGTTTGAAAAATGAAAGTACATTTAAGTGATCATTGTGGATTCTATGAGTAATGGCATTGGTAGTTCTCGTAGTATATGGTAGTACAATTGCTCTTACTTCTAAGGTAGGACTTTATGTGAAAGTGCAATATTATAAAATGCATATATAATGTAAGTCACGTAAGATAATGTTATAACTCTATAATGGTATAGCCGACAGACAAGCGAACAAACTAACAAGCAAACGAATACATAGGTGTGTGTGTATGTGTGTATATACACCTGCACACTTGCACATTTGCATATGAGCAGACTCACATTTACACACATCCACACACACACACATACAAACAGACATTCACTTCAGTATCACTCATGTAGGCATTCACTTGCTTTTTGTTTGTTTGTTTGTTTTTTGTTGTAATATTATATAACATAGAGAATAAATTGAAGAATTCACTGATACGGGTTTGAGTATACTTCATACTCACTCACACACACATACACACACTCACTCATTCACTCACTTACAGATTAACCAATAAGACTGAAATCTTGATTAATTATGTTTTAGGTCAATACCGTCTTTTTATTTGTTTAGCCTATATATATATATATATATATATATATACATGAACACTAACACAAGCCAAAAGTAGAAAGAACTAGATAAAAGATTAATTGTTTTTATCATATGAGCAATATCTTTTTTTTGTCATAACTGATTCAATCCACAACTGATAATATCATCAGAAGGATGATGATGATAATAATAATCATTGTAATTTCAATGATTACTATAAGTGAAGACGGTCATATTGTTGGCAGTGTAGAACAAAAGAATACATATATATTAAACATATTATAAATAGTAAAACAATAATTAAATAGTACTCTTATAATATATATATATGCTGATATATTAAAGCGATAACATTCAACTTTCAATAATTACTTATAACTTATCAAATATAAGTACAATTAATTGCGCGCAAATTTCAAATTTATTGATTTTTAAATAATCAGCACTATCTCTTTCGTATTGTTATATGCATATGCAGCATAAATATATGTATACATATATGCATACATGTGCTGATAATTTCATTGTTACCACTCAGTGAGTGAGTGATAAGAGTAACATAAGCAGTTGAATTGCTGAAAGTATTTTTTTCTTTTTTTTTTGATAATTATTTTGATTGAAGAATTTCTTAATGTCTAAAATGATTTCATTATCTTATCAATGAATCTGTCTTAGAATAAGTTAAAGAATTGGTAAAGACAAAGTTTTTTTTTGCATTTTAGTGCATTTACTGATGTTCTGCTTATAGAAATAATGTTAATTTTGAATTCTTTAATATATTTATATATTCTACATAAATAATTCAGTTGTATTCACCAGATTGTCAAATTTTATATTAAAGAGATACAGCACATGAATTTAATCATCTATCAGGCTAATCTGTTGAAAGAAGAAAACGCAGTAGACGAGATCGGCAATGAAATTTATTCGTGACGAATAAGTCAGGTAAGCAGACATTATCATTAGCAGTGGCTGCAGCAGCATCAGCTGCAGCAAACCTGATCTAAGAGTCTCCAACGCAAAATCGACCCACAGTGGTTTCTGAAGGACTCTGAATGTTTCTCATGTGGACTTTACAAACAAATGCCAGTTAGGCAGACAGCTATTGAAAACGAAGGGAGACTGGACAACTATTTCCTTTAATTTTGTGACTCTTCAGTAGGGCACACCTATGGAATCCATCAAATCTTATTTCGCAGTAATCGTTTATTATTATTATATTATTGTATCCTTTAATTCCTACAGGAACATAGGGCTTCAGCTGCACATCTCCATTGCGTTCGGTTCTCTGCTAAAGTTTTCACCTGGCTCCAGGTCTACCCACATGCTTTCATCTCCTTCTCACGTGACCTCCTCCAAGTCATTCTCATACTGACGATCAACTCGCCGCTTCCCATTCGGGTTCCATTCGGGTGATGGCCTGGCGTGTGATATCACTTGATGGCTTGTTTTCTCAGAGTATGACCAATCCATCTCCATTTCTTCCTGCATATTTGTTGCACAATCGGTTCCTGGTTGGTTCACTCCCAGAGATAGTTTACTATTCATATTTAATTAAATACAAGATGTAATTAGGTGCAAGGTTACTAGCATTGGGATCCAGGATGCGCATTTCATCCTATTAGGGACAAGAAAGTTCAAAGTGAATTAAATAATACCTAATACTCGTTGTACAAGAGGTGGCCTTCTTGACTCAAGTGGTCTAGTGGACAGCGCTTTGAGCGCCGCATTCAAACCTCAGTAAGAACAGCATCACTCACTGGGGGGAAATGTAGATATGTCCAGATGACAAGTCCCGAATAGGATGAAATGCACATCCTGAACTCAACTGCGAGTCACCATCTACCAAATTAGTTTAAGCATCCGCACAAGGTGCCGACATATCAACAGAGGCAGGGTACTTCCGTTCAGTCAATCAACTCGAAAGTCTAAACTGAATTAAATAAATCCAAGATGGTTCCATGAAATTTTATTGAGAATTCATAAGTGGTGGATTCTACTAAGTTGGAAAGATGGACAGTTACTTATGAATTAAATTGAGCAGCATTTAATGAAAAAGCTGAAATTCATGCAGTACTCGATTCCAACCCAGGGTTTAAGGGATAAACGTCCTCGATTTAATCCCTTGCATGTTTATGGGTGTGTACTACTGAAAAACCCTGAACTAGGAGGAAAGAGCCAAGTGCTGAAATAAGCAGCCTTCTGCAGAAAGATTTTAGTCATATCCTAAACTACGAAATCCTCTATTTTCATCGCAAATTCTTTCGCCGAAAATATATTTATGGCTTTTGGAAACTTTTTTGGTGGGAAAAGTGCTATTCTAAAACATAAACTCCTTCAACAGAACATCCTATCATGAAGAGTTAGATGTATACCACCGCAGCAAACAATTTTTGTCCTCAAGTATTATTATCCCCTTGGATTCCTAGTGGAACACAGTGCTTCAACATCACGTCCCTGCAGTCGTTCTCAGCTGCTCCCACGATTATCCATACTCTATCTCCTCCTTCTTATATGATCTCTGTCATGTTACTTTTGGACACACGCCAAAATCATCGTTTCTTATTCAGATTGTGCGCGAGAGATGGCCTAGAGAGTCATTTCGCCTGACAGTCTCCTCAGTATGTGTCCGATCCATCTCCGTTTCCTTCGGGATATTTGTCGATCAATAGGTTCTTGACTGGTTCGTTGGTTGCCAGAGCTTCTTGTTGCTAATTCTTTTTGGTCAGCCATCTGATATTCAGTATGAGGCAGCCGAAGGCATCTAGCCGCGGATAAAAGTCTTCAGCCTATCAGAAATGTTTGCTTATTGCGACTCACCAAGTTTCTGACCTATTTAGAAGATCTGGCTGACTTAACATTCGTTTTGGGAATACGAATTTTGTTCTGTATGCCCAGCGGATGGTAGAAGATTTCCAGAGGGATTTCAGAGTCTTTCTTTTCGAATTCTGGTCCTGACATCATGATTCGTTCTGTCACCTGTAGTTGAAACGATGCCGCTTAGTCGGTTAAATAAAGGGAATTGACACCTTTCAAATTTATCCTTTTGATTGTGATTGGCCCTTGTTGTTGATGGTTGGTTGGTTGGTTTGTTGGTTATTTTTTTCATCTCCACTCCCTCTATTTTCACCTGAAGTCTTCTCCTCACTGGTGGCTTCTTCTGTCAGTTTGTTGGTCTAAGTCTCCATGGTTATTTGACATTATATATAAGTCGTTCACGAAGTCCAGAGCTTCTAGAGTTTTCCCATCCTGAACCTTACCCATGAATATTTTGTAAATGTTGACTCTATCCACATAATTCTTCAAGTTATTACATACTACTAACTTCGTACATGCATCCAACTGAACACGCTTGTGTCTTCCTTTAACCCCTACACAAGTTCTTGTTCACTGTGTATATGTGATAAGTGAACAATGATCAAAGTGTTTAAATCAATATTTTGCATAAAAAGTCAGTTGTGTTCACCTTCGAGAACTTATATATATATATATATATACATAGTTGAATAGGTAGCCAGAGTTCGCATAATTTATTTAACGAATTTACTTAGTCTAATATTAACGCCATCTGAAATTATCATGCCTCACTCATATAACCCACTCAGTGTCAATGAATTTCACTTTAAAATAAAACAAAGTGCAAATCTAGCTTGCATTCAGTATTTCAAGAAAATTCTTGTCAACTTGTATACGTAATAAAGATAAATTTGGTTTGCATAAAGATTTATGAGTACAATTAATCTAGAATAGAAAATATATATATGCAATGGAATTTTAACTCTGTGTATTTTATTATAACATTGAGTAAAATGGACCAAGTTTTTTTTCTTTTTTCTTGGCAGATTGATTTTATTACTTTACTTACCTGCATGGAATGCTTAAGTACCTTCCAACACGGTCAATGTATAAATTATGAAGACAATAATGATCACAATTTTGTGTATTTTGAACGCAAACATAACTTTTGCATTTTATGATAAATCGTTTTAAGCTGAATTTAAATCCACTTCATATCATCTAGATATTGAACATTGAAATCGATAAGGCGGCCTGTTTAAAACCTGAGCTACCAAAAATACTCCATCACTGACATTGCATATAATTTCTCCTGTTCACTTTCTTTTAATCTGTTAGAATACGACCTCTAAAAGTGTTTTCTATCCACTCGAGCACTTAAAATGTCTACAACCTGCTGATTCACAAGTCTGTGGCGGACCTTAGACTTAGCTAGCTTAATATCCCGGATTCGAATATAAATAAAAAATACAAAATCCGTAAAGTTACTGGAAGAATATACTAAAATTTATTACTTGGGTTATTACAAGGTCCAAATCCACAATTAACTGAGTAGACTCCAGAATTATTGTAAGAAGACTGCTCCAATCTTAATTCCCCAATGTCGATATTGCCAGAGGTCGACCAAGGTAACGTAGGGAGGAATTACGGCGTCCCTGCGAAATTTTGCAATAGAAGATAGGTAATTAGAATTGGCCGATGGCAGTTGAGGTGGTGGAGAAGACGGAGAGTTGTAGGCAGAACTATATTTTCATTCAAAACACGAGGTTAAGTTCAAAGTACAGAGATTCCGGTTAAAACAAAGTAAT